TTCTTTTTTAAAGTAAAAACGAATTTAAAACATCACTTTTAATTACTCAAATAATTTGGACTTATTTTATGCAATTTTTTCTTTTTTCTAATATTTTTGAAAATTTCATTTTGACTTAGTTGAATGAAAATGTGTGCTTTTTTATTTCTTTTTTGTGCGTGTGTTAATTTAGAAATTTACTAAACTTATGGAAAATATTATTGCCAAACAAATTTCTTCACTATTCACATTTTTATATATTTCTCAACGGACAAATAAGAGAAGAGGAAAATTTAGGCAATATTTGCTCCTACCACTTTGCCCCAACTTTGATATTTGAAAAAAAAAAAAGTGTAAACATTATTTTGTCCATGCATTTTAACTTTTGTCATTTTAATTTATCTTTTCCTAAAATTTTCATTTTTATCTCTATATTTTAAACTTTAATCAATTTTAATTCCTATTTTGGTCCCTATACTTTTAAATTGGGACTTTTTTGGTCTATTCACATTTTCTTTTTTGTCACTTTTTTTTAATCAAAATTTCAGCAAAACACTGTCAATAAATTCATTAAAATGTAGCCATAACTTTGTATTTAAGGGTTTCTGTTAGGTATACAATTTATGTTAAAAATTTGCAAAAAGGAAAAAATTGTTGTAGACTAAAATGAACATTTTGGAAGTAGATCAAAATAAATTAAAACCGAAAGAATAGGTACCAAAATAGTATTTAAGAAAAAAAAATCAAAATAATATTTTAACCAAGGATCCGTAAAAATATATATAATATATATTTTTAGTCTTGGTCTCTTTAACTACATCTCATCTAATTTCTTAAGTTAAATTTTTTATTTTATTTCTTCAAATTTTAACCACTCTAAATTTAATTCTCTTAGTTAAATTTGAGGATATGAACTAACAGAAAAAAGGACATGGACAATTTTATTGTTGCTCATAATTTTATTATTCATGATAATTAATAGTTCATATTAAAATATCATAACATCGACATTATTATTGTATATCTCATTTATTGTGCTATTTTAAATAATATTGGAGATGAATTAACATTTTCGATTGATTAAATGATTTTTTTTTATTTATTCTTCCTAGCACTCGATTTTCCACCGGTTGTTATAGTTTTTTTCAGGTTTAAATATTATTTTGGTCCTTATACTTTCAATTTTTGTTTATTTTGACCTATATATTTTTTTAAAAAAAAAGTGATCATTTTGATCCTTAAATGACAAGGAACCATATTCCTTCTTCTTTTTTCGTAAAGTTGGAACCAACGGTAACCATATATAAGGGTGATTAGAGTTTTCTATATTATCTATATTGCCTAGTTTATATGGTTAACAATTTAAATTATATTTTCATCTTTTTAATTTTCGTTTCTTATTTTTATCTACATATATGTGGGATAGAGTGTTTTTTATCTTATAATTATTTCTAATAAAATATATATTTACATATCTTTGGGTGGAAAATGAGGCTATCCAGTAAAGTTTCTAAATAAAAAACAGAGACTCTAGACCTTTTTTTTAATTCCTAACATTTATCTATGATTCTGAAAATATCTTAAAAAAAGAAACTAAACTACAAGATGTTTTTATATATTTCAAGGACTAAAATATAGTTTTATACAAAAATATTTTAAACTTTAGGTAGAATCGTAATTATGTCCCATTATCCCATTATTTTAAAAGTTTCATGTTTCTGCTTTTAACTTTACAATGGTTTCAAAATAACTATTTCTCAACAATTAATGTGACGTTAAGATGAGTCGTAAGAATAGGATAAGTTATATTTATACCCATATCCTTTCAAAAGGTTCGTTTTGTCTCTTAACTTTTAAAATTGTTCAAACTAGCCCTTTCTCGTTAAAATGAAGATGAAAAACTGACACGGGATGAGCTACAAAGAAATGAAAGGATTTTAGTCATGTTTGAAATAACTGTCGTTTTTGGGGAATTGTTTTTGGGTTAGGATAAAATATTGTTCCTTCCTTCTGGATTAAAAGATTCACATGTAACCCCTATTTTATAACTCACCCCCACGTCACATTTCAATCTTCATTTTAGCGGGGGAGTCAGTAAGAAGAAGGATTGCTTTGAAATAGTTTTAAAGATTAAAATGAAAATTTTGAAGCAATCAGGGCATAATTGAAACTTATCTCCAAGATCAGGAGCATAATCGAAATTACCTATATTCACATGTAATTTTTTTTTTTTACAATTCATCTCACACCATATTTCAAATTTTTATGACAGAAAAGTTTGCCAAAATGGTTGTTTTAAAATAATTTAAAAACTAAGGGTAGAAATGAAACTTTTTGAAACAATAAGGGTGTCATTGAAACCTACATAAAGGTTCATCTATATTTGTTTGCTCAAAAAGAAATTAGATACATTTTGTAAAATTTATCCACGATTACTAAATTAGTTCTAAATTTGAACAAATTGTACATGTGCAATTACAAACAAGTGGCGGATCTCGAAAAGAAAGTATGTCTTTTCGTCTTTAAACTTTCAATTATGCTTAAGTCTTTGAATTTTTGAAATGTCTATAAAGGTTAGTTTTAGATTTGAATTTAAAAAATTAACTATTTTGGTCTCGCCCATTATTTTTCTTGCAATTAATAGAGATAGCATAGCCTCAAGTATATATTAACATAGTGATGTAAATATCTATTGGATCCATATAGGTTGGTTGAGACAAATATTGAGTGAGTGTATATTTAGGTGACAAAAATAACTGAAAAGATCAAACTAGGTATATTGTTTAAGTTCAAGGATTCAATTAGACCTCTTGAAAGTTCAAAAGACTAAAATAATTATTCGTTGAAAGTCAACGATTAAAACATATATTTTGAACCTTCTAAAAAAATGGAATAAATTTTAAAGTTAGAACTAAAATATATAATTCAAATCATCAATTGAAATTGTTGCTAGGAAAAATACAACATGATACGTGGACCAATTGACTCAGTTCGGCGAGGTCAAACCCGTTCAAATAGCTTAAGGGAGAAGATCGGCGTACCCTAGAGACCTAGCTGAAGACTAAACCAATTGGAGAATCGCCTAGGTTCTCTCCAGTTGACTTGAGAGCACCGACCTCAAGTTCGACCGCTCACTTGGAGCTCGATAGCCTACAACTGCTTGTCGGAGTGGTTCCAGCAGCCTTGTCCCCTCTATTGCTATTAAAGGAACACTCATCCACTTGTTAAGGTACACTAATATGTCCGACTATGACCTATAGTGGCGAGAACTCCCACTGATTTGAGTTTCAGAGTATTTGTTCACTCTGTACTGGTTACTCCCCATAGGCAACTTGCTCCGGTTAGACGCAGGCCGACCTATTCAGCTCGACATAATTCAAATATCAACCCAAGCTATTTTCATTAGACAACTTGAAGTCTTGAGCATAATTTAGTTGGTCAAAATTTAATAACTTCTATAGTAAACAAAAAAAAGTTTCAAGTTATTATATTTTTATATTTCAGTTGGTTTTTTTTTATTTTGGTCCATATGGTAAAAAAATTTAATTTAGTCTCTTATATTTCAACATTTTTCAATTTAATCTCTCATTATCGTTACTGAATGTTAAAATTAATCGATGATAAACTTACCATGCATAATACTTAGTGAATTGATGGAAATTTAGATGAGAAAAAAGATTATGAAAAGAAGAAAACTAGAAATTTCTATTAATTTATTAGGTGTCATTTGATAACTATTTTGTTTTTAGTTTTACGTTTTTAAAAATTCTGCTTGCTTTTGTATTATTTCATTAGTAAGTTTTTCACCTTTTAAATTCTTAGCTAAATTTCAAAAACAAAAACTACTTTTCTTTTCAAACTTGACCTATATTTTGAAAATGTTTACAAAAACTACCTAACACAACAAAGGAACACTTGAAAATAATGTTTCTAAGCTTAATTTTTAAAAACCGAAAATAAAAACCAAAATAGTTATTAAACGGGACCATGAAATTTGGGGCATGAATTAGAAACTTTCCTCTTTTAGATGACATCTTTTCTCTTCTAAATTTATTTTATTCCATATAACGTTATTATCAACCAATTTTAACTTTCATGAGCGAGTGACTAAATTGAAAAATGATAAAGTATAAGAGACTAAAATAAGACTATTAAACTATACTAACTTAAAAGGTTAAAATTACTATTTTGGTTATTGTACTTATAACTTTGACTTATTTTTTTGTCCAAAAAAAAGTTGACTTATTTTGGTCATATATTTTCAAAATATTCATTTTATCTATATACTTTCAACTTTAGTTCATTTAAGTTACCGTATCAAAATGTTCTTTTTAGTTCTATCGGTTTAAAAAAGTGATTAATTTTGTCCTTAATTTTATTTGAAATCTTATTTTTTCTATTAGAATTTAAACATAGCGCTACACTGAAATATATGGTCACTTTTTATATTAAAAAGTTTCATTACAGGACTTATGAAAAATGATTAAAATAGTTATTTTTTAAGAGTACACCGACGAAAATAAACCTTTTAAAAAATACATGGGTTAAAATGAATAACTAAAATATATATTTAACAAAAGAAACAGAAAAAACTCCAGCATGCATAGACTCGAGATGAAAGACAATAAATTCTTTTACAATATAATGGAAAAATGAAAATTTACTGAATTCTTTTTTCTTTTTTCAATTTTTTTTTCCTTTGAAATAAACGCCATTGCAGAGGAAGGAAGTACAATGTTTCAAACTTTTTGGCTTTTTTTGGACAAAACTCCACCCGTGATTCAAATCAGCCATTATTTTATTAATTATTATATCTTTCCCACTTTTTCTTTCTCTAAATTAAATAAATTACTAATCCAAGTCAATTTCTTTTCCCGGAAAATTTCCTCAAGAACTTTTCTCGAGAAAAATTTGGCATAAAGTAAAAGGTCCAAGACTTTTCGCCAAAATTCCCACTTCTTCTTTCTTCTCCAATATATATATATATATATATATATATATATAAAGGAACTACTGAACTGAAACCAGAGCTCACTCTCAATCCCTCCAATGGCTACTCCCTTCAAACCGCCATTGTTTCTCTCTCTAACCTTCGCTTTCTTCCTCCTTGGCTCTTCTTCCTCTGAGGAATCCACCCTTTTGGCCTTCAAAGCTTCCATTAAAGACTCCACGAACTCTCTCTCCAACTGGGTCTCTTCTTCTCCCGCTCATTTCTGTAACTGGACTGGAATTTCTTGTGTGAACGATTCTTCGCCCTCGGTTTCCGCCATTGATCTTCAAGCATTGAGTCTCTCCGGTGAAATTTCCTCTTCCATTTGCGAACTCCCGCGTTTGGCCCATCTTAATCTCGCTGATAATCGGTTCAATCAGCCGATTCCTCTTCATCTCTCGCAGTGCACCTCGTTGGAGAGTTTGAATCTAAGCAATAATCTCATCTGGGGGACGATTCCGGATCAGATTTCTCTGTTTGGTTCGTTGAGAGTGCTTGATTTTGGGAAGAATCATATCGAAGGGAAGATTCCAGAGGGCATTGGGGCTTTGAGGAATCTCCAAACTCTCAATCTGAGGAGCAACTTGATTTCTGGTAGGGTTCCCTCTGTTGTCTTCCGTAATCTGACTGAGCTTCTTGTTGTTGATTTGTCTGAGAATTCTTATCTGTTGAGTGATATTCCTAGTGATATTGGGAAGCTTGAGAAACTTGAGGAGCTATGGCTTCAGAGCTCTGGTTTCTATGGGGAAATCCCTTCTTCTCTGTTGGGTTTGACAAGTTTGACTGTTTTGGATCTTTCACTGAATAATCTCACTGGGAAACTCCCTGATTTGTTGGGTTCTTCTCTGAAGAATGTGGTGTCTTTTGATGTTTCACAGAATAAGCTTATGGGGTCTTTCCCTAATGGCATTTGTAATGGAAAAAGCCTCATAAATCTTAGTCTTCATACCAATTTTTTCACTGGGACTTTGCCCAATTCCTTGAACCAATGCTTGAATCTTGAGAGGTTTCAAGTTCAGAACAATGGGTTTTCTGGGGATTTTCCTAAACCCTTGTGGTCTTTGCCAAAGATTAAGCTCATTAGAGCTGAAAACAATGGCTTCTCTGGTGAAGTTCCTGAGTCTATATCAATGGCTGCTCACCTCGAGCAAGTTCAGCTTGATAACAACAGCTTTTCCAGTAAAATACCTCAGGGTCTTGGGTCAATTCGTAGCTTATACCGTTTCTCTGCGTCGCTCAATCACTTTTATGGTGAATTGCCACAAAACTTCTGTGATTCACCATTGATGAGTATAATTAATCTGTCACACAATTCTCTTTTGGGTCGAATTCCTGAGCCGAAGAACTGCAAGAAACTTGTCTCTTTGTCCTTAGCAGGCAATAGTCTTACTGGAGAAATACCCGCTTCCCTTGTTGATCTACCTGTGTTGACTTATCTTGATCTTTCTAATAACAATCTCACTGGTTCAATCCCTCAAGGACTCGAGAACTTAAAGCTTGCGCTCTTCAACGTCTCATTCAATCAACTATCGGGTGCTGTTCCATTCTCTTTGATCTCAGGGCTACCAGCTTCGTTTCTGCAAGGAAATCCTGATCTTTGTGGCCCTGGCTTGAAAACTCCTTGTTCTCAAGGCCATCCCACACACCATATATCTGGACTTACCAAAATGACATGTGCCCTAATCTCTGTAGCTTGTGTTTTAGGAGTTATGAGCCTAGCTGCCGGGGTCATTCTGTATTACCGTTCTTACAAACTGAAATCCCGAGTCGATAACTGGCACTCGGTCTACTTCTACCCTCTTAGAATCAGTGAACATGAGTTGATCATGGGAATGAATGACAAAACTGCACAAGGATGTGGAGGAGCCTTTGGCCAAGTGTTCATTTTAAGTTTACCGAGCCGCGAACTGATCGCCATAAAGAAACTGGTTAACTTCGGGAGTCGTTCGTGGAAATCATTGAAAGCCGAGGTTAAGACGTTGGCCAAGATCAGGCACAAGAATATCATCAAGATTCTGGGGTTTTGTCATTCTGATGATGCCATTTTTCTGATTTATGAATTCTTACATAAGGGAAGCTTGGCTGACTTGATGAGCAGAAATGATTCTTGTCTGAATTGGAACGTGAGACTGAGAATTGCCATTGAGGTTGCTCAAGGACTGGCTTACATTCACAAGGATTACGTCCCACATTTACTTCATCGAAATGTCAAATCTTCGAACATTCTATTGGATGCCGACTTTGTCCCAAAACTCACGGATTTTGCTCTTCACCATATCGTTGGAGACTCTGCATTTCTCTCAACCGTGGATTCAGAATCTGCTCACTCCTGCTATATTGCACCAGGTACTCAAAACTTAATGATCAGCATTGAATTGAGACAACTAGCGAACTAGGGTGTTCAAAAAACTCGATAATCTGAAAAATCTGTGTTAGACTGATCCATGAGTACCCAAACCGACTTGAATATATGGATTAGAACTTGATTTTCTACTGAGATTCATAAGACATTGTCGTGAGTATAGAATTCAAGGGAAAGTGAGTCTTATTCAATTCTATCTTTTTGAATGCAGAGTATAAATATAACAAGAAAGCAACAGAGCAAATAGATGTGTACAGCTTTGGTGTAGTGTTGCTAGAACTGGTGACTGGGCGACGAGCCGAGCGAATGCAATCATCGGACTCTCTCGACGTCGTCCAGTGGGTGAGAAGGAAGGTCAACATAGCCAATGGAGCTCCTCAAGTCTTGGACCCAAGCGTCCCGGAGCCTTCCCAACAACAGATGCTGGAAGCACTGGACATTGCCCTCCAGTGCACTTCTATGATGCCCGAAAAACGACCGTCGACGCTGGAAGTTGCCAAGGCACTTCAGCTAATCAGCTCGACAACGAACCTCCACGACGCAGCCTGCTCGGTTGCAGAGGATGGTTCGGTTCCGAGCTGAAGGACATCTCTTAGTCCATCACTTGTCACTTGTTGTATGTATATCCAAATTCACATATCTTTCTGTGGGACTTTTGATTGGGAGAATGCTGTGTTTGGGGCATGGTATTTCTGAGTGTGCTCAACAATCAATGGTAAATACAAGATTTTGTTCCTTTTTTTTTTTTTTTTTTTTGGTCTCAGATGGGGATGCTTACATTTTGGTGTAATGTAATTGCTTTGAAGTTTTATGAGGAAATCATATGATATCTTTGAAGATTTTTTGATCTATACTTGTGACTTGGAATTTTTGTTTTCCTTTTTCAACTTTCAAAGTTTTACCAATTATGTGATTTTTTTTTAATGTGATTTGTACCCTAAAAAAAGTACATATATTTATTATTTAGTCTAATATATATATATATATATATTTTTTTTCTTTTCAATTTTGTGCTTAATAGGTCGGTATTGGTAATTTCATTTATTTAACTTTAGGCCACCAAGTATCTAATATCGCATTTGATAACTCTTTTTATATATTTTTAATATTTTTATTTAGCTCTATTAAATAAAAACCTCATGCCCACAAATTTCAATGACAATTCATTTGGGTATTATCTTTAATAAATTGATGTAACACTTAGATTAGGTCTAATTCGAGAAAATTTAAAATTTAGAATTAAAAAGCTTTCTCAAAATAATATTACAAAACATTATCAAAAAATAGAAAATAAAAAAATGATATTACAAAAAAATATTAATTATAAGTAAATTTGAGAAGAAACTGTCCTTTTTATTTTTTTGTTTTTTTGTTTTCTGTAACGACTTTGGAAACCTTTTGAAAACGCCACGTTCTATTGACCCATTCTAATCCGCCATTAAAATCTGAAATTCAAGCCCCTTTCCCTCTCTCTCTCTCTCTCTCCCCCAATCGGATTCACAATCAAATCACTCTCCGATTTCAATCCTTCCTCTCAAGCGCACGATTTCATCTGAAGAAGAAGAAGAAGAAGAAGAAGAAGGTTTTTGTTGTTACCCGTGCCTTGAGGAATATGGATGTGGTATTTTTCTGTAAATTCATCTTTAATTTCCCATTTCTTCCTCGAATTCATCTTTAAGAATTATCCCTGTATTGCAGCAAGCTCCGGATGTGGATCTTCCGACGACGGATAAAGAAATTGTGCCGGAGAAGATTGAGGACGAAGAGATCAAAGAGCCTTCGTTCCATTGCGATCTCTGCGATGCAGAAATGGTTCATAAAGTGGCTCAGCTTTTCCTTCCTGGATTGGCCACCGCGTGCGTCGATAACACGAGCGGCGATATCTTTCGAACCCCTGGCTCGGTGGCTGCCGATATGAGGAAAGAAATGGTGGATTATATCACAATGAGAAGCGAAACTTGTGTTGCGGAATCTGTAATTCTGGAGAATGCGCCGGATGCAGAGGTATCTGATCATCCTTACGATATTATCTCTGATTTTGTTGAAGATTTTGTTTCTACGAAGAGGAATTTGTTTAGTAGAGTTTCAGGATGGGTTCTGAGTGAGAAAAGAGAGGATAAGATAGATGATTTTGTTCAGGAGATGGATATTAATGGCTTCTGGCCACTTGATAGGAGAGAAACCATTGCCCAGTCTTTGCTTAAGAATGTAGATTTTAAGAGCGAGTTTCACTGTGATAAGAAATTTCAATCTGTTGAGGAGCTAGCTGAGCATGTTGATAACTGTGGGTTTAGGTCTTTAACTTGCACAAATGAAGGCTGCACTTCTAGATTCTGTGCAAGCCACGCAGAACAGCATGATTCAGTCTGCCCCTTCAAGATAATTTCGTGTGAACAGAAGTGCTCCGCGCTTATCATGAGACGCGAAATGGACCGACATTGTATAACAGTTTGTCCTATGAAGCTTGTGAACTGCCCCTTCCATAATTTGGGTTGCCAATCCCCTGTTCCTTACTGTTTGATAGCGGAGCATTGTACAGAGAGTTTTGATTCTCACTTGCTGTGCATTCTTCACTCTGTACATAAGGAAGCATCTGAAGAGACTCTTAAATATAGACGCCAACAGCTTCAAGAGGTGAGGTTTTACAGATTTGTTTGAGTTCATTTCTGATTTTCAAATGGGAATGTTCTTTTTGTGAATCATTTATATATTCAACTGACATCAAAATCAAACCTGCCTGCCATTGTGAAAAAGCTATTGCCTAGTTTGTGAAATCCTTCTGTTGTTTGTCTGTGCAAACTAGGAACATGCATATATCCAACTGTGAGCTGATATGAAATGTGTTCATTGTCTATTAACGTCGTGTTTTCTCCACATTGAATGCAAGAGTTCATGTTCTTTAGCTACTCGAAATGCATATAGGACAATCATATGTATAATCTAGGAACTAAATGCTTTAAAATGTGTTAATAGCTGATTTTATTTGGCAGCCCAGATCTTGGTTTAAATTCAGAATGAGGTGATTTCAGAAACTTGAAATAAAACTGGAGGTAACTGGATGGGATATATTAAGTTCATCACACTATAAACATGCACTGAATTCTTCGACATACTTAAGTCGTGTTTTTGATATCGTCTGCTAACTGATCTTTTTGTTCGAACAGACTCAAGAAATTAATTTTTAAATGTCACTATTCAAAATAGTGGAATTTGATATATGGGCATTATTATTAGTTTAACCTCGAGGTCGAAATTATTTATTATATCAATGAGATTCATTATCTTGGTGTGTTTTTCTCTCTATCTTTCTGCATTTGTTTTCAATTTTCTTGAGATGTAAGATGAATCATATATGCTTATCTCATCTTGAAATTATGAAATCAATGGCCTGAAATTGGATGAGTAGCTTCCTCTTCCCTTTTTGGTTTTTGGGGGCAAAGGTACTAGTAGAGAAGAAGATTCAACCATTGATAGAAACTCCAGATCAATTGAATTTCGCTAATTGAGTCATCTCTGGTGCTTGTAAATTCTAATTACAATTCTAATAATTTTTCAGGCTGAATCACTTGATCACCTTAGAGGGCTTCAAAACCTCAGATTGTTAACCAAGAAAATCAAAGAAATGGAGTCTAACTTAGGACCATTAGTAGTCATCAGCAAGGAGGAGGAGACTGAAGAAGAGAAGGACGCCTCTAATGAAACTGAAGAAACGAAGGTCGCCTCTAATGCAGTCGAAGAAACGAAGGATGCCTCTAATGCAGTGGAAGAAACAAAGGATGCCTCTAATGCAACTGATGAAGAAACGAAGGAAACTAAAGAGGCTTCTAAGGCAACTGAGGAAACAAAGGAGGTTCCTAAGGCAACTGAAGAAACGAATGATGCTTCTAATGAAAAAGAAGCGACAAAGGACGATCCAAAAGAAAAAGAAGAAACAAAGGACGCTTCCAAAGAAAACGAAGAAACGAAGGATGAAGTAACAAATGTCGTAACAAGGGACGTCTCTGAAGTGAAGGAAGAAACTAAGGATACATTTTCTGATACAAAGGAAGAATCAAATGATGCTGTTTCCAATGTGAAAGACGAAGCGAAGGATGCTTTTTCTGATGCAAAGGAAGAATCAAATGATGTTTTTTCTAATGCAAAAGAAGAAGCAAATGATGCATTTTCTGATTCGAAGGACGAATCGAAGAATGCTTCTGATGCAACCGAAGAAAGGAAGAGTAGTTCCAATGTAATGGAAGAAAGTGAAGAAAGGAATGGCAGTTTTAATGCAACTGAAGAAACAAAGGGAGCTTCTAATCCAAGAAATGTTGAGGATGAAGCTGAAAGATAAATTTTGAGTCTCATTTGGCGAACAGGTCCAACCACAAGATACTTCATTTTTGTCCTTTTTTATGTTTCCTTTGTTATTCTTTTATTATACAGTCGGTTTGATTCATGTTTCCCAATGAAATTTTGTAAAGTAGTTTCTTATGATGGCTCCTCTTAATCTGCCTTAAATTTTGACCTAAGATGCTGTTATTGTTCTAGCTTTGAATGGGATAAAAAGGGAGCTCGATATTTTAAGTATAATACTTAAAAAAGTTGCATCGAGCCGAATAAGTAAAGCCCGGTTCGATAATGATTTGATTTTAGTTTTCTATTTTGAAAAATTATGCTTGTTTGTTCTTGTGCAATTTCATTGGCAAGTATTTCACCTCTCTTGGAAATATAATGGAATTCTTAGCCAAATAACTAAAAATGGTTCATCGAGGAGGCCAAATAACTAAAGCCCCATAAAAATTTGATTTTAGTTTTCTATTTTTTAAAAGCTAGGAAAGCACCGACACTCTATTTATTAATTTTAATTTTTGACATGCTGCCGATACGTTGAGGACACGTTTTAAGATATGAATGTTATAGTATATTGGATATTGGATTTGTATGAGATATTGGATATTGTTGATGTTGATTATGGTATGAATGTTATAGTATTTATGTTGATGTTTAAAAGGAAAAGTTTAATTTAAAAGTATTAAATAGTGATAACATGTTAAAATATGTATACATATAAATATTTAAAATATATATATATATATCACGTGTCCACAGTGTGTCGTGTCCTACTTTTTTGGAAATTAACATGTCACGGTGTCCGTGTCATGTGTTTGTTCTTCTTAGTTTAAAAGTTATACTAGTTTCCTTGTTGGTAGGCGAGGTCTCGAGCCATGTGGGTCGAGCTTAGTGCTCTAGACTTACAACGAGCTTCCAAGTCGGTTTGCGGGACTTCACCCCCTCGAGTGAAACTCAACCCGAGCTTGTTGGGGACGAGCTCTGACGTCATGCAATTACGTCGATAGTGGAGAGTAGTTTACCACCCTGGGAATAGTTTACGGTTAATGGGATGGAAAACTATCCATCAGATAAACTTGAGTTTCGAAGTTCTCTTCTAATTTTTACAGGTCTCCTTCCTCTAGCTCGCTTCATAGCAGCTCATTAGAGTAAAGCTCTCGTCAGCCTTCGACACTTCGCAGAAATCAACATCAACAAATCTTATAAAAACTCTATAACAATAAAAGCATAAAACAAAAAACGAAATAACCATCGAACCTATCTAAATTAAAAAGAGAAGTAGAGACAGATATGGCCCAAAATTTGCAAATTGCATTTATCATTACTACTACTAGTAGTAAAGTATTACATAGTATATACAAACACACACATAATCATTCATCATACTCCAAAAAAATTCTTCCAATCTTAACCCTAAACCCAAAAAAATCAGTAACCAATTCAAACTTCTAAGGATCTGATTCATTGTTCCAACTTTGTTCTACACAATGGGCAAGAATTGCTCTTCCTCAGCCATGTGAGGATGCAGGATTCATGATACACATGACCGCACGGAATCCTAATCACCTGCCTCCCGCCATTCATCTCATTCAAACAAACGCTGCAATCTCCCAATTCTACTCCTTCTTCAACCTTCTCCTTCTTCAGCCTCGAGATCGCCGATTC